TTGTCCTCTAGACAGAATTGCTCTGACAATACAAACTCATCGTTCTATTTAATCTGTCAGGTCATGGCCCCAGAGATTATGATGAGCTGTCTCTCAAAGCCCCACTGTGCTGCAATACAACATCTCTTGGATAAATCACAAGCTCCTCACCCAAAAACAGGGACTTTGCTACAGCTCTAGGGTGTATTTCCTTGTTTCTAATAGTTTCTTTCACTGACGGGAATATAATTGCACGTGGGAGCATCAGTCATGTGTCACTCTTTTGTTCATTTTTGGCCAAGGTGTAACCATACAGCAGCAATCTATAGTTTTTAGACATCTAAAATAAACTGTACTGAATGAAGGGGATTAATCTGAAACTAGAATTTTGCAGGTAGAAATTTATTCTGTATTAGCTGAAGGATATCTACACATTAATTATTCTTTTACTAATTCAAATAGAAATAGTAGTACTGTAAGGGGAACTAATATTTGTTTCATCATTTGCACAAATAATATTTATAAATAGATGAGTGAGCAAACTATTTGTGTAAACACTCCCTAAAGAACACAGGGTATGACCAACCTTGCAGCCAAATTATGCATAGGAGATTTTGGATCTCAAATATTACATTAAGAGTATATTGTTTTCCCTTCCTATTTAACACACACATCCTTTCAAAGTACACAAAAGCTGCTGGCTGGATTTAGAAATAAATAAGTCCCAGCCTCTCTGTTACACCTGCAGATGCACAGACTGTATGCAAAAATTCTTACACTGAAGTTGCTGTGCAACTAAGCATCATTTTTATTCCTGCTTTTGCCTATCACAGATCTCTGCTGGAACAGTAGGTGAAGAATGGGTACCTTCAGTAATTTCGAGTCAAAATGCACATGTAGAGCTACTAATCCAACTTAACAAGCAAAACCATGTTGCTCCAAGACCTTTCCTCAAAAATCTACTTTGAACTTAAAGTATAAAAATAAAATATGCCACAGTCCTCTGGCACTTCTACACAACTGCCTGTCTCCTTATTTTCTTTATTTGCATTTTGCTCTTTCAAGATTTCTGCTGGCATTTTCTGATTAACACCTTTGGAGATTACAGTACCACCACAGTGCTTTCATATTCTACTTTAGGTCTCTTCTCTTTATACTTAAAACAGAGACTAGTATTAAGTGAATGCAACCTTTGATTATAAAGTTCCCACACTACTGACATGAAAAATACCTCACTATTGCACAAGAAATCTAGAGGGAGAAAAGTAAACAGTTTGGAGACTCCACATTAATGTGAGAACAGTGTCTCTTAATGGACTATCTGCTACTATAATCACTGCAGGCTTTGGTACAGGAGTCACAAGGAGATTCTATTCCTCAACAACTTCTTTTTCAGATGTCCCTTGGCAAAACTGCAAAAAAATAATATCAGTTCTCAATATGCAGCTACCTGGGCAGCCCCTCTATCTGTTTTGTTAAAGACATTGGTACAAGGATGGATTTGGCACTAAATACAGGATGCAATACTGGAGAGGAAAACAACTATTCCATTTAATTTCCCTACCCTGATGAAAAGGTTAATCATAAAGTTGAAATATCAAGTTGGATATTTTTTGTTGTTTACTCACTGATCAACAGGAACACCAGGCAGCTGAATAAAAAACCCAACTTGCCCCCCACTCCCTTCAATTAACATTTACAAAAAGGAAAATCTGAGAGTGTTCAGTAGCCAAATCTCAGCAATTATTAAAAAGCATAACACAAATAATCTATCAAATCATATATTGCTAAAGAAAGAACTAGTGCTGCAACATGTTAAATGGCAAAACAAGTTCCATTCAAACAAGTATTGTGGAATGCCAGCAACAATGTTTTGTAATAAGTTACTATAATTAGTAATACAAGCCTCAAAATAACTGCATCCTCCCAATTTTCCTGTATTCTGGATATGATAAAATCTCTTTTTTTCCCTCCAGTGTAACTAAAATGGTAATTCAAAGCTGATTTAGGATCAAAGACAGCCTCAAGGTTATAAATAGTTGTAGCTGGCTGTGAAGTATTCTCATCAAAATTTCTTGGAAGTGGATGCCCTGCTACAAGGGTAGTGCACTGGAAGGAACCAAACTGCAATAAGATATTTTCTGAAAGACTTATAGACAGGGAAAAAAGAATTGTGGAAGAAAAAAAATGCTTTGCCACAGGATCTAAGTGCTGTTAGCTGAAAATTATTATAAAATGGGACATTTAATGTATCTGAAAAAAAAAAATCCTCACCAGAAAACCAACCCCAACATCACTAATGAGCAAATATTGATTGCCATTGAGAAGTCCAAAATACTTGAGTTATTCTTTATTCTTTCTATCCAGTGTTTTCACAGGACAGAAGCAATTACAGCAGCTTTGTTTTTTATTCATGATTGGCAAAAATCCTGGTTTATAATTCCTCTAGGTACCTACTTCAATATTTGCATTTATATTTAAATTATTTTCTTCTATTTTTCAATAGTTCCAAAACCAATCTACTTCAAGTTTTTAAAGCAGTTCCACAAATATGCCATTTTGGAAGTGTTCTTTTATGCATTATATGAGGCAGCAAAGCAAGACAGAAGCAGTGGAAACTTCTAGAGACAAAAGAAACTGGCTGACCAGTCCTTTCCTCAACTGACCTCCAAGGTGGTTTGTGGACCTAAAGAGCCTAAATAACTCTGGGATTGAAACTAAGGCATCAGTTCAAACTGAATTGATCCTACTTAGGGATACTAAAGATACAAACTAAGAATTCCCATGCAGAAGAAAGGTATGAAATAACAATTCTGCATAAACCATGAGCTCTTCAATTACCTGAATCTCAACAAAAACCCCCCTAGAGAATGTGGTTTTGCATTGCTGAAATTTGTGTTAAATTTTCCTTAAGTGTAATTTCCATCTCATGAGAAGCTGTACTAACACACCCTGTCAATGTGCAGTATGCAAAAAAATCCCTGTGGATCACTGCAGTATATTCAAATCCAGTTGTTTGGGGCATATCTTCTGGATTGCATCTACTTCTTTTTAATACATTTATTATTAAAAAACCCTAGTAGTATAGCTTTTTATTCCCAGTTGTTGTCCTCTTGAGCAATCAGACCAATTCATTTAGGGATCTAAAGGAACAAGAATAATGAATACAATTTAAGGGATGGCCTATGCTACAAACATCACATTTCAAGTTGTTTTTCTCCCCTTGTTATCAGTGCTGAATAATTAAGGCATGCACAAAACCTGACTCCATAGCTGAAAAGTGCACTTGAATATTTGAAACCTGCTTAGAGACTGGTGACCTTTCAGGTGAGAAAGTGAGAGATCAGATCCAACAACTTGCTCACAGGTTATGATGCATTAGCATTACAAATTCCAGAGCCTTTGGGATCACGGGGGCTGGCACTCATTGGGATAAGATGATGGGGCAACATACAGTGACAAAATTAAAAAGTCAGGTGACAGGATTATGATTTCAGTCTGTGTAACTATGTTTCTCTAGCTTTCTGACTGTATTTTCCCCTGGTTAATTTTCTCCAATTTGACAACTGCTTTTTCCAGTATAATCAGTTTAAATATTTCAGCCTTCCAACACAACATTTTGCCTGGCTGTGCCATGTACGGGCTGCAGATTTTTCCTCTGGCAGTTCTACATAACCTGCATGTGTGAGCAACCCTGTGATCACCTGTAACTATCACACTTGTCTCCCCAAAACCAAACAGTGAAATCACGGAAGTAACATCCTTGGGTGTTACTATGTCAAACCTCAAAACTCAGAAATACGTCTCTCGGTGCATCTCTGACTTGCAAGTGGAAAGGGAAGCTACAGACACACACAACTCCTCATGTCACCAGTTTATATGTGCCGTGATCTTCAGCTGACAAGACCACTTTTTGCTGTGAAAAAGAACCATATTGTAAAACACACCACTAAACACCTAGGGAAATAAATAAATTAGAAGTGCTAGCGCATCCACAGGAAGAGAGAAAACTTCTCCTCAGTCATACCTTACAACAGCCGACTGCAAACCAGTGAGACATGGTCAGGAATTTACCACCTCAGCAATACAGTAACAGCAATCAGTGCAAGTACTTGAAAAGATTCCTGATTACATCCTATGTCTCTAATTTTCAACAAGGAGCCAAAAGCATTGTGAATAACATATACGTTTTTATTTTCCCAAATAATAAGGCTTCCTGGCAAAAGAAGCCCAAGATGGAAGCAGACAGCTGCAAGTGTCAGTAGGAATCTCAAAAACCCAGGACTACAGCCTGGGCTGTAATACAACAGATATTGTTTATTCTGCAAGGCACAGAATTATCACCACGGCTCAGGAGGCAGATCAATAGATTAGAAGGAACCTCACTGTCATCACAATGTCCTCTCTTCTCAAAAACAATCTCCCTTAGTGCTTTAGGCATAAGTTTTGTTTTCAATGTAGTAAGAGAAGTTACAGGTGTATATATACAACTATGCATACAGAAGTGTGCATTTATATATATATATATATATATATATATATACACACAGATACAGTCTTAAGGCTTTGGACATAATAACATTCCACCAAAGAACCCCAAAGCAACCATTACACTGGAAACCCTTTTGAAATTCACACAGTCAATGAGTGTATATACAAACCACAGCCAAACTAGATGGAAATTATTTCAGAAATAAAGTGCACGAGCACCTGAAAACAAACACCAAATATATTTTTAACGGAGAAGTAAACTAAATACTTGAGAAGATGTAGCAAAAAAAGTAAGAACAGCTAAAGGCACTAGTCAAGTTGACTTCTCAGAGAGGACAAACAGAAAAATCCATGAAAAATAACCAGAACAAAGACAATTATGGATATTTAACTAGCAAAATTAACAGAAAATGCTGCTGGTGCTGAGAGAAATAATGCAGACTATAGAATTCACAAGGTCTTTGGATGAGCAAAAAACATTTTTCAGAAACTTTGTTTACAATACACCTGCTGTCATTTGTAACCATTACCTTAGAGGAGACTTTCAGCAGGGGATGAACTCTGAAAACACTTCACAGAGAGGTGTTTGGACTTCTCTGTTGAATCTGAAAAACAGAAAATCACTAGTTAAAGCCATCAGCTTATGACACAGAGGTAGTACTGGCAAAAGTGACAGAAAATATCCGTATAAGAAATCTGCCCACTGAACAGAGAATGTGTCAAGGAGAGAGGTGGATTAGTGGCTTTATCTCAGAAGTGACAGATTTCTGCATTTCAGAAGTGCCACGCTGGAGTGGGTGATGGAGGGACTTACATGATCAAGAAGAACCTGTGGTTCACCAATAGCCAAGGGTTTTGATTTGATCTAAACTCTTTTGTAAAATCCTGAGATTAACCCCATACAGCCATTTTCCCCCTTTGAATTTCAGGAAGATGTATTTCAGGGAGGTTGCACAACATTGGAAATATATATATATCCAAATAACATAACCTGAGGACAGGTTGGAAAAAAGTATAACACAAAGGTTTCGAACCTTCCTCCTACACCTCCCCCCCCACCCAAGGAATAAAAAGCACTTTCAGGTAGCGATAAACTTTGTGGGTTATGCAGCTGGAAGGTGGCATATTCTATTCATTTATCATTTATAGACAGACCATCAGGAAGTCATTACACTGTGAAGATTGGATCTCTGCACAATCATGGTGTAATTGAGCTCTGCTGTACACAAATATTGTAGATAATAACACATAAAAAGGTTTGCAGTATTGGACTTGTTCTTTTCCTGCATTACAGTGTTAGGTTCAATCCAGACAGAAGAAATAAAGAAAGGAAAGTTTTCCTAAAACTTAAACAGATTTTGATGGATTAGAACCTATTTTGTTTACTTTTGTTTAGTGTTAAAATTCGACAGCTTTGAACTCTAGCTCTGATTCCAGCTCGTTTGTGGCTATGACCTGAACCTCTCCTCTATCTGACAGGAGAGTGGACTACTACCAGGAAATAAGGAAGCAGAAGGGAAGTTGGAAAAGCAGTCAGCCTGGTTTAATGGACACATCTCAATTCACAGGTCAGAAGTGCCCACACCGCTTTTAAGTCAGCACCACTGCCCTGACGACACTTTTAAGCTGCTTCTAGCAGCATCAGGATCACAGTGGATGACAGACTTGCTGCAGGCTAAATTCAAGGAATATGCAGAGATCCTGTAATGGTTACAGATACTTCAATATCTCATGTCTGTTTTGGCAGGGGATAATATTAGCACTCTGGAGATAAGGCTACAGTAGTGCTGTTTGAAAATATCTGTATCCTGCCTGCTGGGCTGTGATAAACAGTCGTGTGTTTCACACATTAGGTGGGAGCATTAACAGTCCCCGTGCAGGCACTTGGAAGCAGGAGGAAGACACAGACAAGTCTGTGGTGTGCTGGAAGTAGGAGCAATCCTGCCCAGGTGAACTTGTACTGCTCAACTCCTATCTCACTTCAGGATCTTATAAGCTCAACTCAACTGTTACTGGGCTTGAGTTCTGATTAGAAAATATGATAAAGATTTGAAGAGAAGAGGCAGAAAGCAAAAATTCAGCACAGGAGAGTGGAGCCAAGTGAAGGCCACATAGATCCATTTACTCTGTGACAGAAGAGGGCTGGATAGAAATACTCCCTAAAACATTAATACCACATTTTCATTCTACCTACAGCATCGATATTACACAACCCACTTTGAAGAGTTTTCGTTTCTAATACACACCAAAGAATTCTCCTCTCCTACAAAAGGCACTTTTGTTTCAGTGACTTTTTGAAGAAAGGAGAATACTCAGCAATTGCTTAAGATTTAAAAAAAAGAGGTAGAAAAAACACCTGCATTCAGAATGGTTTTGCTATGCCCAAAACTAAACAGCTTTACAAAACTCCAGCATGCTGTACGCTCCACTCTTTCTTTCTCCTTACAATTGTTCACTCTGGCCCTGTGACTAAATACTACCCCCAATCTTTCCAAGCCTTTTGGAAGGACAACCTTTTATTTATGAGTGTCTTTGCCAATCTGAGTGCACAGGTCAGATAACATCAAAGTTCTGAGCCATTAGGATTTGTTTCAGACATAGAAGGAACAACAGTGAAATTTCTAAAATTAATTAAAGTTCTGGAAATCTTACTCCCAGTAATTTGGGACCAAAGAGTTGCAACCCAGGCTACTTTGGAATTATTTTTTAAGAACAGTTATAATAGGTTCTTATGAGTCTGTAGTCATGGAGAATTGTTCCCATCACTTTGGTTGAGCGGAACTGCTTAAGAATTATTGGAAGAAAATAGAAAGAACATTTCCTTCACAATGCTCTCTCTACAAACAATAAGGGTAACTACCTGGCAGCAATTTCCTTTCCTACACTATGTCTTAATATTAACATAATCATAAACACTTAAGACAGCATTCCCCTCACATCTCCATTATTAATCTCTTAAAGCTGAGTTATGAACAACATAAAACATTAATGCATCATGTCCTAATAATTGTTGTCTTATTAGAGCATTTGCCCCATATGCCTTGTTAGATGGTTTGTGCTCATAAGGAAGATAAGTTTCCATTTACCAGAAGATATTAAAAAAAAACCCCAGCAACCAAACCAAAACAATACACCCTGTCAATATTACTTCCATCAACAGCATTTTCATAAATTAATAAAAAATTAATGAAGCAGACAAAATGTAGTAATCTGGTTAAATATTAATTTTATACTTCCTAATTTTTTTGAGAGCCTGTCTGCTGAACTTTGAGCAGTATTTACTGACAGCACCTGAGCCCCCACCCTGCCCCCTCAGAGCAGCTCTCTGTACTCACACAAGAGCAGAGTGATCCCACTGACCCTGGTGAGAACCACCCACAGCCCCAGCCATGGCACCCAACAGCTGCCAACCAGAGAGCAATAAAGCCATGGCACCAACAACTCCAACATCTGCTCTGCACACACTGCTAAATAGCTGTTCTCATGGCAAATGGTCCTGCAAATGGAAAGTACTCCCTCAGAATCACAACTCCTCATCAGCCACCGAGATGGTTAAAAAACATCCCTAAAGGAGGTGGGAGAGTCTTCAATCACACATGAAACTTCTGTCCTCTGGACTTCCAGCATGTGGTTTATTTCATTACAGTAATATGGTAAATTTGCGTGTTTTTAGGTTCAAATGTATGATATTAAGTAGTTGGATAAACACACCAGTGCATTCAGGTCAGAGGAATAAGGGTTATTTTTCAGTTTTTGCTTCCTACCTAAACATCAAAATTGCTTGCTCTTTAATTTTGAAGTTTGCAGTCAGCAGACAGTCATCCTACAAGAGAGATTGATCTTTCAACAAACTTGGACCAGTCAGGAAAACACGGCTGAAGGAGGGTTTAAAAAGATAATAGCCTGTCTGACTACAAACAAATTTCCCATCAAAGCAATTCCTAACAGGATTTCATTAGCAGAAGCTGAGCCCTCAGCCTCAATGAGGGTACCAATGCCTATAAAGTACATTTCTCAAGAGAGGAATGGTGTGATGGCTGGAGCAGAGAACCTGGATGCACAGGTCTGTGCATTCTAATTCCATCTCTGTCACCATCTTGGTGATCATGAGCGAGTCACAAAGTGTTTGCTTCAATTCCTTCATCTGTATAATGGCAATGATATCTAATTCAGAGGGATGCTGTGAGGATTAATTAGTTAATGTTGGTAAGTGCTTTGAAGATGAAAAGAGCTACAGAAGAGATAATCAGTTTTACAGTCTCTAAAAGCTTTTACCATGTCTGCAGAATTATTTTGGAGTACCACATGAATATCATCTGAGAGGATCTGTCATTTATCACGTACATCCAGAAGAAGGGAGGGGGTGGGGGTTGGAAGGAGCAGGTGTGCAAATGTTTCAGTGTTAAATCACGTATCCTGTTCTAAAATCTGCAGAGAAACAGCACAAAGCTCAAACTTCCTTGGTACAATCTACCTGTGCATTGCTACCACTTTCTTAAGGAAAAAAACACCAAATGTCTTTGTTGATTTAACTCTTCCCTTCTTCTTGATTTGAAATTTTGAAACCATGGTGACTTTTAGGATTCTTTTCTGTGTACCTGTATACTTTGGCTTTTTCTCGGTATGTATATTATAAAGGACTATGAGGTAACTCTGAAGAAATGTGTTTAAGGTAGAATATACATATATTTTGCTTTGGAAGACTTATTTTTGATTGCCTAGAAAGTCTTCAATATGTACATCCCCACTGCATTTCCTGCCTTAACTGATTTTCATTCACAATAATCAAAATGGAGGACTGTAATGAAATAGACTTTTCTTAAACTTTGCTAAGTCAGCCAGGATACAGAATCATAAATGGTTGAAAAATTTCAGAATTTAAAAAAAAAATAAAAATGTCTGTACTAACTCTACCTTACTCAGATATTTTCATACCCCACATAAGAACAGCTGTATCTCCTGTTCCATTTTTAAGTAGAACAGTTTCCACAAATTATTTTCAGCACAGACCAATAAAAGAATGTCAACCTGTATACATGGAACTGCTTCACAGCTTGTGTGTTTTCCTGGATAAACTGCTTCCAAATATTGTAATTATGTACAGCATTTTGATTAAGAACATATTCCTGAATACACATTTTTCAAATAACCATCAGAAAGAGAAAAAAAAATTATTTAATCTGAAAGATGCTCTCTAAATACAAGACAGCAAGACCAGTACAGATAACTGATGTATTAGAGTGCAAAGGTGACAGATATATAGATATATATATACCTGTGCTTTATTCCAAGGTGAATGCAATGCTGACTGCTTCACATAAAATTTTTGCAACAATCAAATACCAAGCTTCACTAAGCCACATTTTCCTCTTTAAAAAACAATGTCCAGTGGTTGTCCTACTAATTCTCAGCAGTTAGAGTACCATTAACACATGATGAGACAATTCATATTCAACTTTGCTGGGCGATGAAGTATATTTTGCTGTTGCTTCTGATCATTATATTTTGCTCACAGCCCTTCTCCTGCCTTATGCAAATGTCAACATTGACAGGGTTGAAGGAAAAAAAAGCAAATATTTCAGCTCATTCTTCTTTCTTAAGTCCT